AATGGATGATGAAGTACTAAGTAAGGGACTCTGAAAGAATCATGAACAAATCATGGACATCTAAACCCCAGGCTTCAATAACCCACTGTGCTTTGTCTTGGAGTGGATCAGGGTGACCTGGATTACCCTTAAATTCCAATCTCTCTTGACTCTGTGTTTCCTTCCCACCCCATAGTTCATCTATCATGTTGATATTTAAGATTCCATTTTGGTAATTTTCAAAGTTGAAGCTGATTATTTAGCCTGCTCATTCAGTTTCTTTTACTATGTCCATTTCCCAGATTCCAGCCAAAGACCCCCAAGAGCACACTTGGAGAGGAGCAAAGTTGGATTTATTAACTCGCTGCAGCCACAGCGAGTGGTGGGGTGTCTCAAGGAGAGGCTATGAGGAAAAACAGAGGACCTGGGTGTCTGCTAGTCAGTTAGGGGGAAGGTTCCAAGACACAGGAGTTCTGTGCTGCATTGTGTAGGATTAGTAAGAAGGTGTGATTCTGCAATTAAGGAGGTTAAAGAATCTTATCTAGGAAAAGGGGCTAAAGCCATGATAATCAAAGAGGCCCTAGTCACTCCTATTAGCCAGGGACTTTTGTGGTTTACTCAAGATATGGTGATGTCTGTGCTTAGACAAGATTACAGCGTAGTTTGATATTCTTTTTCTCCATCACTACCATGGAATAATCCTCTCTAACATGAGTGCCACCTGAGTTGGCTTCTATTCAGTAGGAGAACACAGCTCAGCTGGACACCAGACCAGCTCCTGCCATCGTGAGGCCAAGCCAGTTAGCACTTAGCTGGATCCCCGTGTGGGGCTGTTATTCTCTCTTCCTTATAAACTGCATTGCTGTTGTCTGGAATAAGAGCCTTAACCTCTGCCCATTACTGGCTGAATGATCGTGTGTAAATGTTGAACTCTCTTGTAGTCACGTTTTGCTCGTCCACGAAATCAGAATGGCATTTACCTCCAAGGGATCTAGTAAGAATTAAGTGGGGGGAAAAGAAAAGAAAAGAAAAAAGAAAGGAACAAGCCTAGCACATAGTAATTTCTCAATAAATTACTGCAATTTTTACTATTAGCCTGAGTATTTGGAATAAGACTCAGTGTATAAGCACTTACTTGAAAGTTTTTCTCTTTCCTGAAGGTAAAAATTCTAAGATCTTTGTGTACATAGGAAAAATGTGCTCTGCTCAACCCTGTGGTCACTGCAACGTTATTGGGCAAAATGCTTATGGGTGAACTCTTTTTCAGCACCTACTCTCCCCTCAGCGGGCCCCAGAGAAGCTCATTCATCTGGCAGAGGACAATCTGAACACACTGGTGACAGAAATGAATGAGCTTCTGACCAGGGTAAGTCAGAAAAATCACGACTCTTCCTGAAAGCAGCTATAGCCTAAGACTTTGGTTTCTGTGGAAATTAAGAACAATGACTTCAAAATTCTGAGATATAACCCTTGCTCTGTATAATTTCCCATTTGGTGTGTGGAAGGGGTATATTATGATTTGCTACTTCAGCTACACATCTCAGAATCAGGTACCGGCCTCTTCCCACCCACCCCCAAAAAAACCATAAACCAAGTTGGTGTACTTGGGAAGTACCAAGTGAAAGGGGTCGCGCGTGCCCCTTCAGGCGCCCCCTCCCAATCAGGTCCCTCACGCACCGAGAGGTCCGGCAGGAGATCTTTATTGAAGGGAGTCAGGCGAGGCACAAAGGCCGGGAGGCGAAGAAAGGGAGGCGGGTACCAAGGGAAGGAGTGTTGGCTCATTTATAGGGTCTTGGGTGGGAGTTTTGCAATTTTAGGGGAATTAGCTGTTTTTTAACCTATTGCAGGCCACATTGCCTTATAAGGTCTTAGTCCTGCAGGAGTCCCTTATCAGATGTTGGCGTCCTTTCTGGGAAGAATTCAACTGGGAGGGGGGGAAACGAAACTTAAATGGGGAAAACGAAACAAGTTAGGAAGAACCCGGAAGTCAGGTATAAAGTGGAGGAGTTTAAAGTAACATGTACAATTTCCTAACACCAAGGACAAAGTCTATAAAATATCAGAATGATAATGCATTTTGGTTACTTTATGCAGTAGTTTCTGTGCTGCAGTTGTTTTTTTTTTTTTGTCAGTTCTGCATTTCAAAGGCATTGTCCATGATGTGTAAAGTGAAAGAACAACAAATGAAAACACTTGTAGTCTCTTTGATCTCCCAGAACTTTAGCATTTGTATAGGAAGTCTAAATCAGTATTCCTACACGACAGAGGAAACCTTCTTTATTGTGAAAATCCACAGTATTTAATACACCTTTTAGAGACAGAATGTAAAATTCATGTTGCATTTATCAGACTTTTGTTTAGGAATTGATAGTCTCCTAAGGTTCTGTTTTGCTGGTAAAGAAGGAAGAAAATAGCATAAAAGTGCGCCATCTTGTGGCCAAGCAATGAATGAAGGAAACCGGCTTGCAGGTGGAAAACCAGTGGATTATTTAAAATTAAGCTTTAAATGACAACGATGCTGGAGCCAGGAGGTCCATAAAGTGAATCCTGTGCACTTTGTATTTTAAAGAAGCGTTGCCTCAGGCGATGACAGTGAAATGAACTGACAGTTCCTTCTCCGATTCTCTAAACTCGAGGTCTGAGAGAGAACCAGCCTGAGATTCCCACTGGCCCGGTATTTTTTCCACATAAACTGCTGCTGGATTAGGAAAATTTCCACGGGGAAATCAGCTGGCTTCCTAAGAACATAATGTTGAACCATGGCCCCGATATTACAACAGCATACCAAACACTTTCGCAGGATCCCCGGGCAGCAATATGCAGTGAAAAGTACAAGATGTCACTTCTTGCCAAGTGTATCTGGACACACAATTAAATCGATGAGTGTCTGGCTCTCGTATTAATTTGATATTTATTAATTTTGTGTTTGTTACTTTTACTAAATAAGTGATTTGAAAGGAGTCATGGCGGACTAAACTCAATTGGGTTCAGTCCAATTCAATTTGTATTTTTACCCTGTACCAAGCCCAAGGTGAGTGTTGGGATGTGAAAAATATTAATGAGGCACAATCTGTCTTCAGGGATCTTTGAGTCACAGAAATGTGCGTCCCTGTGTGTGCACATGCAGTTGTGTGTGCACATTAATAAAAGACAACTACATGTAATTACATGATAAAACATGGCATCGGAGAATAAAAATGTATCTGAGAAATATGTAAAAAATGGGACCATTTAGTCTAGTTAAGCATTGGTAATTAGAGAAACAGTTCCTTGAAACATGTAGCCTTTCATTCATCCATGTGTTCCATCATTAGTAGTTATTGGTTCTCCGTGTTCCAGGACCTAAGATACACACTGCTGTTGGAAGTGAGGTAGCAGGCACAACCCCTGCTCCCCCCAGCTTTTTGAGATAATCTGAGCCTGGAGACACAAATGCTTTGCTGGGACTGTCAGATCTCTGCTGTGTCTTCACCCACATGCTTTCACCATTCCAGCAGACGCTCTCATTCTAAATTTGTAAGAATTATTTTTTATGGCAGCTTAAGGTTCAAAGCAAAACTGAGTGAGAAGGGCAGAGTTCTGTCTCTTCCCCAAACCCTGTACCTGTGGCTGCCCCTATTATTCACCGATCTGGCACAGTGGTACATCATTACTGCCAGTGGACCTACAATAATACATTGTATCATCCAAAGTCCATGCTCCATCCCTAGCAACGTCTAATCTTTCCACCATCCCCATGGTTTGGTCTTTCCTGAATGTCAGTCATCCACCTGGAACCCTGCAGTCTGTAGCTTTTACAGATTGGCTTTTTTTTTTCTTTTCTTTCTTTTTTTTAGTACCAGGGATCAAACTCAGGACCTTGTGCTTGCAAAGCAGGTGGCGGCACCACTGAGCTAAATAACCCGGCCCTGGCTCTTTTCACTTAGTAATATGCACTCATGATTCTCTGTATTTTTTTACTACTTAATAGCTCATTTCTTTCGGGCGCTGAATAACACTTCATCGTCTAGATGTATTGTAGTTCATCCATTCACTGCCGAAGGACATTTTTGCTGTTTCTGAGTTTGGGCAACACCCATAAAGTAGCTGTGTGGACGTCTATGCTCAGATATTTGCATGCATGTTTTTAACTCGTATGGGTAAATGCAGCATGATTATTAGAATCTTTTTCTCATAGAAGTGTTTAGTTTGAGTAGAAATTGCCAAATTGTCTTCCAGTTTGCCTGCACCATTTTGCATTCTC